CTAAAACGCATATTTTAAACGTTAAAGATTATTCGAGAAAGAAAACATAATGCTTATTATTAGAGAAATTCTCAATCAGTTCTATTAATGAAATTTGTCGTTAATCGAGGTATGACCCACTTTGTCAATTAATGTGATTCGTATGATTTGCACACCAATAAAATTTATGTAGTTTATGTAGTTTATGTAGTTAGTATTTGTTTTTGTTTTGTTTGTTTTTTTTGTGTTTTTTTTTTTTGATTACTTACTCAAGGGACGTATTTGGTGGATACTCATTAAGATTATTATCTTGGATATTTTGAATATTAGAGGTTGAGTGTTTTTTATTGTTTTCTCTCGACCACCCTGCTCAGTTGCTTGGTGAGCAGCATAAGTAACTTCATAAAAATTTTTGACATAACAAACTTGTTACACCGAATGTTTGGATTTTTAAGCATATTTGACATTCATTATAACGATTCGGTTAAAAGTTTCACGATTAACGAAGCTATGCCCTTGCGAGTCCATAGTAACGAAGAAAATATGTAATATACGCGGTAAAGATATAATGAATTAAAAGAAATGAAGCATACGGTAATAAAAGAATTATCTTTATAAATATAAATATCAATGAAAATATCAATGCAAATACTGTATCAATGTGATTATTAATGAAATATCATTGTAAATACTGTATCAATGTGATTATTAATAATTATTATCTTCATTGATAAAATACGTAAGTATTATTATCGTTATTAATAAATTATAAATTATATAATACATAATTATTACCAGTATTGCTCTGGCCTCATGATCTGCATTACGAATTAACCTGGGTCATGGTGAAAATCGAGAAATGCGACATAAATTCCGAAATGACGTGGAACATGTATACTTTATACAAGTAACTCTCGATATAAGAAACCTTCGATATTAGAAAGACTAATTAAACTCTCGATATAAGAAAGTTCAAGCCAAAACCAGTCTATAATAAATCCACTCGATGTAAGAGAGTTATTAATAAACTCTTGATATAAGAAATATTTGTAAAATTTTTACTATGGACCCAACCACCTTTCTTATATCGAGAGTCACTTGTATTTATTAATATGTTGATAGTTTCAGAATTTAGCAGATTTAACGTTTAAAGAACAACTTAAAGTAGAAATATGATTTATAAAAAGTAGATAAAATAAAACTTGTATAATTTGAGTTTGCTTATAAACAACATGCTTTACTATATCTAATTATTAATGTGATATGTCTATAGGATTGATATAATCCTCTGGAAAATTTCCGGTGAATTACCTTCATCCAAATAATAATTATTGGTTTTTTATTTCAAGAAAAATTGGAAAAATTTTAGAATATAAACCACATCAGTACATAATATATCTGCTATAGTTCGAGCAAATCATCTAATTTCTTCACAAAGTGTGATATTAAAATCATGAAGATGGTATTAAATGCCGATCTCAACACAGACTAGCTTCTGAATGAACACAATTTTTTGTATGAACAACCATTTCGAGCAGTAAAAGCGAAAAGTTACATAGATATTATTAGATATTGTAATAATTCTGAAAAATCTCAGGTTGTAATGCTCTGAGATATTGTGTATCTTGATATAAAGTTTAAGGCATGAACAAATGAGTATTTAATAATAGTATTGTATTTTAAGGAAATGACTGAGAAAAAATGGTCCGAGAAAAAATAGATTTTGAGATAATATCGATTGCAGGAATGATAAGGATCTTTGTTTTTGTGTAGTACATCATGCAATGCATGCAATGATACATCACTTAAAGTTTAGAGTTGTGAAATGGGCATGATTTTTTATATACTTATGGGCAATAGAATGCTGGTAGCGGAATTTTCAATAGATTCCGGGATATTCCGAGATATTCCGAGATATTCCGAAATTCAGAAAACCTCCCATGCGAATATTTGTGATACCATCGAATGATAACATACGAATTTCCAAATTTGTCAAATTGCTCGACGACTCATATTATTTTATTATCATGCATTTTTTTTTATTCTGCTAACATGGGAGAAAATCTATTCATGATCTCAAATTATTCGTTAGTGAATACAAACTAAATTAGATGCTATTACTAAATAAAATAGGCAGCGGCATTACCTACCTACCTACGTACATATTGCATATAAACACAAGACCGTTTATTGGTTGTACCCACTATTCTGCCTAGATTTGGTACACCTGAAAGCCGTGATAGTTAGTTACGCTGATGATATCACATAACTATTATGGCCGTCAGCCAAATTACGGTAAATATTAAATGAATATGCAAAAAGTCATTATTATTTCTTATCGACACGTGACTTTGCAACTTTCTAATTAAAATGCTTTAAAAACTGACTGGTAATTTTGTAAGAAACATAGCTCCATAGAGTCACTATCAGTTTTAAAAATACTTGCATAAAAAGTTTACCCAATTTGAAAATAGTTGAAGGTCGTCAACTTATCATAAAATCAAAAGATTGAAAATTTGACCAGTAACATTGTTCATTATAATAAAGCTCTGCAAGAATTATCGGTTAGCTTTAAAATGTTGCTTCTATAAAAGCTGACGCGCCTAGTTATATGTTCGATATTTGGTCAAGTGAACACAAGCATAAACTTTTTTTTTTTTTTATAAAATTTTAATAAACCTTTACTAACGCAACAAAAATGAATCATTATCATTAGAAATATGATGTTATTGTAATTAATATCACCGATTTTATTTTTATCAAAAAAACAGAACGAATAGAGGAAGAAAACGAAAAAAACAACCGAAAAAAAAGTGCTGCAAATAAAAGGCTGCCACCAACGATAAACGGACTACGCTAATAAAATAAAAACGAAATAGAATAAAAAACGGAAAAAAATAAAAAAAAATAGTGCTACAAATAAAAGCTACCATCAAGTATGATAATGAAGCAGAATATTTTTTTCGAACGAAATTTAAAATTCACTAATAGAAAAAAAAACGAAGCATTTATACTCGAATAAACCAAATTCGCAACCGATAAAACGATTGTTTACCATAAATTTACGTTATTATAATTGCCAATATTCGATTAAACTCATATATTTTGTTTTTTAACGTTTGATTAAATGCATAAGGTGTAATCAATAATATCTCCAAATTCTTCTTCGTTAACGTGATTGGAAGAGAAAGTTTCCTCAAAAGACGTTTGCTCATCAAAAGCCATTTGTTCTTCAGAAGTAGGTTGTTCATCAAAAACCATTTGTTCTTCAGGAGAAGTTCGTTCTTCAGAAAACGTTTGTTCCTCAAAAGACATTTGTCCATGTTCTTCAGAAGACGCTTGTTTACCTTCCTTTTTTTGAGGTTTATAAACATAATCTGGATACTTCAATTTATGTCTCTTAGCGGCGATTTCCGCTAAAATGGTAAACAATTGTTTAATTTGAGATGGTAGTCTTTCCCAGTTTTCACCAGCTTTTTTTTGCAAACTAATTGGATTTGTTCGAAGGGGATCCTGCGTTTTCTCGTATGCAATGCATTCCTTTAGGTATAAAATGAATTTATTTTGATACCGAGGTTGTTTTTGTGTGTTATTCTCTTGCTCACGTGGAGCAAGAATTTCTTCAATTGATAACGTAGGTTTATGTTCAGGTGGGAGTTCATTTAATAATTCATATACTATGGCCATTAAATCATCATGTTCCATCTGAAGAGAGTTTATGGATGACGAAGGATTCTCATAAACTATTTTAATTTCGTTATTTAATGAAGCCATTTTACAGACGACCCGTTTTACTTGAGCTTTGAAAAATGCAGTCTTATATAGTGAAAATGCTTATAACTGAATGTTATAGGATTTAAAAATCCTATTTGGTAATCAAATTTTACTATGCACTTTAACAATTGATTCTATAATATAAACGTGCATTTCTAACTTTCATTTTAGAAATTTGGCTCTAATATCTTGTTATAAGATACCTTAGTTGTATAATTGGAGCCTTCTTTACCAATTTGTCAATAATGCATATATTTGTTTTATATTTTTACTTTCTTTTATCTCTTCTAAATGATTCTTTCATTTGTTTTTTTCTTTGTTTGGCGTTCTTATAAAATTTTAATACGATGCTATTATATAAAATTTTTAATGTAGCACGAATTTCGCTAAATCATGCATAAAAATCAATTTAATTTCATGTATAATAAACGAGACAATTCTAAAATAATTTTAGTTCATAAAAGTATATTCGTCATCGGACTGACCGAAGACTTCTCCGTCTAAGGTCATGTTTAATACAAATTTGGAATATTCAAGTGAGCTATTTGTACTCGAACGGAAATCTTAATATACAAAGCGTTTTTTGAGCAGCATCTAAACGCACTTAAGTTAGTTGATCGTCAATCCTTGTTACCAATTCCGTGTTTTTGGAATGACTTGTAATTAAAACACCCTAAAATATCGTAGAGGTATGATAACAATTTGTTCTTGCCCAGAGGAATATTAATAATAGTAAAGGTGGTTTTTATAATATAATTTTATTTCTTCAGTCAATATCCTTTAATTCTTCTCTGAATTGGTGGGATTGAACTATAGCGATTACGATAAATTTGGCTCTTTGATCCGATGCAATGGCTCGGAAAATCGGACTTTATCGTTATAGAATTTTGGCTCATTATGGCACATGAAAACGTGCGCCACCTTTATTTAAAGATATCCACATGTTAATCTTATTTATTGTACGGGTCTTATGTGACAACCCGTGCTTTTTTCATTTGGTTATTGCACGGGATTGTTACGTCAGACACCGTGCAATAAGATAGTTATTATATGGGTATATGAATAACCCAGTTACACACACGGGTTCATATTTAAATCCCGTGCCTTCGGCACGGAATATGAACCCGTGTGTAACTGGGTTATTCACACATACCCATACAATAACTATAATTTATTGCCACATTAGTCTTTTGTACATATAATGTGTTTTTAAACTAGCATTTTTTGTTGATAAATAATTTAATAACCAAAATGTAATTTATTCCAGGCTCCGAAAGCGTGGAATCGTTTACTATAATTTTTTTCTAATAGGCCAATTTTATAATTGCATTTATACATGTTTAGAGAACTTTTTAAGAATGTGATATTTCACCATCTCTGTATTTAATGAAACGCCAACAGTTATTATACAAAATAATTCAGAAAGTCTGGAAATGCTTTGTTAAAAGATGGACTTCTGCACATTACGTATATGATTATTTCGTTGTTAAATATTTTTGACTTAGTGAAAAAGCAAATTTCTCTAAAAATGAATCGTATAAAGGCATGTACATCAGCATAACTCTGATTCAAAAAGAATACCAATCTATTTGCACAAACCAATCAAACAAAGACGATTTTCTCTGCAACATGCCGATACCACAAAATTTCAGAATTCTTTTATTTTGCAGAAATTAGACTTTATCGTGGATAATTACAGAGTTGAGAATTTAAGGCTAAATTTGGTCAAAGATCCAATCAATTCGCATGATTTTTTAATCGATTTTGTCGACAACTTTGGAAAATAAAATAAAACATGAGCATGGACGTTGGAAATTTCGGATATTAGTGATTAAAATAAATCTTTAATGTAGGTTTTTGCAGATTTTTCCGCAGAAATTAAATTTAATCACCACAGAACCACTGTAAATTTCTTGTTACTGCAATAAAACAATAAAAATATCGGTGATTGGGTCTTAAATTTACCAGAAACGGCTTATGAAATACATAGAGTATGGTTTATAGGCATCTCAAATGTTGTAAAATAAATGAATAAATAAAGCAAAAATTTTATTATAATAAACATAACAAATACATATATACACATATATATATTTAAAAAAATAAATAGTTGTTAATTTATGCTTAATTTAGGCAACTGATTTAGTGCTGAGTTATAGCTAATTTATATTAATTCAGACAACTGAGCGTAGCTAACTGGCAATAATTGGGAATTATTTAGTTTAATATAATTTAGATTGTATTTATTAAACATTCTGTATATTGAATTGTACTATTTCAACTAGTTAATTTCTTTGGATTTTCAATTTAGTTGGTTTAGTAAAGTTAGTTTGCTTAGTTTTTAGATAATTTATAACTTTCTTTCCCTTAATACATGCTTCTATAGTTTATATATATTTTTTAGTATAATTCAGGCTACCAGGTTGGTAAATTCTTTCTTTAAGAATCTTTTGTTTTCAAATTTTATTAATTTTTTAGTTTAATTTAGTTTTGTTTTATTATACTATTAGAGATCTTTACTACATTTATTCTTGAATTTTGTTAAGCTAGTTTTGGAACTTTTAGTTCTTTTTATTAGTTTTACGTAATTCGGATAATTCTGATAATTTATACATTCTAAATATTATACAAATACTGTTAGAATTTTTTAATATACAAACTATATTAGTATAACTATTGTTACAGATAATAGAATTTAACTAATAAATAAAGTTTATTACTAATACAAGTATTTTTGCTTAAAATATTTTTAGTAAGATTTAGATTTAATATCTTGGTTACAAGCTGGCTTGAAAGTATAACAGCTCAACTATTACACTTTGCTATATATATTTTTTATTTGCATTATTGCTAAAATAGTATATTTAACCACTACTGGATATCATTACCAGTATTGCTATATCTCAAAAATATACTAAGTAATCGGGATTGGATACTCTAAGTAAAATAATCAGGACTTTTAAAAACTGTTTAATAACTAAATTAAAACCTTATATCTAATCTTTATTATATTATATAAAAAAAAATAAATTTTGAGATTGTAATCTAGCTCAGTGTTGTACATTTTTGCTGTTCACAGCCTTTTTTGACCTTGTCCACGTCCAAAATGTCCACATGTCCAAGATTATCCAATGCTTGTCCAAGCTTTAATAATTAATAAAATTATTTAAAAAATATATGATTATCTATTTTTTTAGGTATTGAACATATTCTACTTAAAAATAATATATTATATGTTTATATTTGTTATATTATTAATAATATTAATATTTATTCTAATTATTTGTCTATTATTATTAAAGCTAATTAGGCTACAAACTATTTATTTTCTTATTTACTACTTTAGAGTATTAACAAAAATAATAAAAAAATAATTTATTTATATAAGCTTATCTAATTTTAATTTATAATAAGCTCCAATTTTAATATAGTTTGATACAAAAGATTTATATATTAAAAAGGTTTAATTATAATACTAAGTAAAAGTTTATAAATTTTTAATTAATTATTTAAATTTTTTTTATATTAAATAAAATAAAGTATTATTTAATTTTTTATATTATTTATTTAATAATTAATAAAAAAAATAATTTAAAGTTTTTTAAAAAGAATATATAATTTTATAAGTTTATATTATATAAATACAATAAGATATATAATAAAATTCTTACTATAAGTAACTAGTGATAATTCTAAGAATTTTTAGAGTTAGGGTTAGAAATTAGTAAGAAATTTTTTTTTATATAATACAATATAAATTGAATATAAAATTCTAATTTTAGTTTTATAAGGTTTTTATGAGACTAAATATTTTTATTTAGAACACCTGATTTTATTTACTTAGTATATTTTTGAGATATAAGCACCAGGCCTACCAAAAATTAAATTGCAATTAAATTATTATACAATTAAATTTAATTAACATTGTTACAAACAACAATTACAAAACAATTAATTGTAAAAAAAACAATAACAAAATAATTAATTGCAAATAATTGCAATTAATGCAATTTTTATAATAAAAGTATTAAAAAGGTATTGTATTAAAATTTATATTAAAATAAATATATATACCAATACATGTAGAAACTATAGTTTAATTTAGTGAATATCTCGAATTGACCACATTTTACTATTAACTCTTAGCAATAAAAGATTTTCTAATATATACAGATTAAGAGACTTTTTCCAGTCTGTATAGTAATATTTTACAAGTCAAAACAACTATTTTATGGTATTAGAAGTAGAAGAAATGATATTCATATCTATTATGTACATCAATTTTTCTGATTTGCATTTTTTTGCAACTCTTTCTTTCATAGTTAAAGAACTTTCTTCTTCAATTTGTCACTCAATAATAAATTCTTTAAGCTTTTGCTTTTTACTGAATATTAGTACAGCTTCTTGTTTGCATAGAACTTTGACTACAGCTTCTTCAAAACCTGAATTATGAATTATTGATATATTTTTTCCTAGCTGACATTCTAACTCTGGACATTCTTCTATTAACAAATCGAAGTAGGCACAAACATCATCCAAATTTATAGAATCACTTTGTAAGTCATTAGTTGCTTCCAAAAAATATTTAAGCATTAAGATCCAATTGCTTAACTAATGAAATATCATGACCTGTACATATATAATAACATATAAAAAATAAAAAATAAAATTAAGATAAAATAAATAAAATAAAATAAATAAATAAAATAAAAAATTCTTGACCCAAAAATCTATTTGTCTAAGTAATATAGGAAACAAGTTCTTTAAATCATTTAATCATTTTCATAATGCTCATCCAACATGTTGTATTGTCCAATATAGGTTTTAATGATATCACCTTTACAAGCTTTTCACAATTCTTATAAGTTCACATCATATATACAATTGTACAAATTTGATTTACAAGAGTGAAAGAAGAGCTAATAAGGTCATTAACCGCCAAATTTAGATAGTGTGATGCACATCCAACAAGTAAAAAACCCAAATTATTTGTTATTTTA